GGATATAAACCAATCATCCCTACTACATTAATAACGGATATAAACCAATCATCCCTACTACATTAATAACGGATATAAACCAATCATCCCAACTACATTAATAACGGATATAAACCAATCATCCCAACTACATTAATTAACGGATATAAACCAATCATCCCTACAACATTAATAACGGATATAAACCAATTATCCCTACTACATTACCCAACTTTACAGCTACATAACTACATGGATAATCTTTATAAAACGGTGAACACGAAAATTTCATATTCTTACACAAGTAGCGTTGTCTGTCCACAATAATAATATATAATTGGTCGAACGAGCAACACCTCAATAATGTTATATTATCGGCCGAACAAGTAACAATGTCTATCTAAAATAATGTTACATCATTGGTCGAACAATTAACCATGTATATCTACAATAATGTTATATTATTGATCAAACAATTAACCATGTCTATCTACGATAATGTTATATTATTGATCAAAAAGTAAAGATGTCTATCTACAATAATGTTATGTTATTGTCCGAACAAATAAAGATGTCTATCTAAAATAATGTTATATTATTGATAAAACGAATGACGTTGTCTCTCTACATCATTCCGCGTGAGATCATCATAGCACGAACAAGAACATTTATGGTACGGACTGTTTAACCTTATACCCAGTAATTACGTTCGGACTGTTTAATCTTATAACCAGTAATTACGTACGGACTGTTTAATCTTATACCCAGTAATTATGTACGGACTGTTTAATCTTATACCCAGTAATTACGTACGGACTGTTTAACCTCATAACCAGTAATTACGTTCGGACTGTTTAATCTTATAACCAGTAATTACGTACGGACTGTTTAATCTTATAACCAGTAATTACGTACGGACTGTTTAACCATATACCCAGTAATTACGTACGGACTGTTTAATCATATACCCAGTAATTACGTTCGGACTGTTTAACCTTATACCCAGTAATTACGTTCGGACTGTTTAACCTTATACCCAGTAATTACGTTCGGACTGTTTAACCATATACCCAGTAATTACGTACGGACTGTTTAACCTTATACCCAGTAATTACGTTCGGACTGTTTAACCTTATACCCAGTAATTACGTTCGGACTGTTTAACCTTATACCCAGTAATTACGTTCGGACTGTTTAACCTTATACCCAGTAATTACGTTCGGACTGTTTAACATTATACCCAGTAATTACGTTCGGACTGTTTAACCTTATACCCAGTAATTACGTACGGACTGTTTAATTTTATACCCAGTAATTACGTACGGACTGTTTAACCTTATACCCAGTAATTACGTTCGGACTGTTTAACCTTATACCCAGTAATTACGTACGGACTGTTTAATCTTATAATGAGATAATGAGATGGCCTTAAAATAGCAGCAGAATAGAAATAAGTGTTATAGGGAGATCACTCTTAAAATCAATATCAAAATAACATGTCTTAAATAGTTTTAGTACATGTCGGGGACACAAAATTGAGATGTCAAATAAGATATGATATGGACGTTAACACTGAAATGTCAGTTTTCCAGTATGTTTTATTATTTTAGTCTTAGCAAGTTAGCAGAAGATTAGGTACGTGGTTTTCAGTAGAAACCATTGCCAAGTAAATACATTCACCACAAGCTCTTCCTTAGTTCCTTACACGTCTATAAACTTTACTGAGTCCCTTCTCCTGATTAATGTCGTACAAGAAAGTCTAACGTACAAATGACTGAGTCCCTTCTCCTGATTAGTGTCGTACAAGAAAGTCTAACGTTCAAATGACGGAGCCCCTTCACCTGATTAATGTCGTACAAGAAAGTCTAACGTACAAATGACGGAGTCCCTTCTCCTGATTAGTGTCGTACGAGAAAGTCTAACGTTCAAATGACAGAGTCTCTTCTCCTGATTAATGTCGTACGAGAAAGTCTAACGTACAAATGACTGAGTCCCTTCTCCTGATTAGTGTCGTACAAGAAAGTCTAACGTTCAAATGACGGAGCCCCTTCACCTGATTAATGTCGTACAAGAAAGTCTAACGTACAAGTGACGGAGTCCCTTCTCCTGATGAGTGTCGTACGAGAAAGTCTAACGTTCAAATGACAGAGTCTCTTCTCCTGATTAATGTCGTACGAGAAAGTCTAACGTACAAATGACTGAGTCCCTTCTCCTGATTTTTAATCAGGAGAAGGGACTCCGTCATTTGAACGTTAGACTTTCTTGTACGACACTGACACTAATCAGAACAAGGGACTCAGTCACCTGAACGTTAGACTTTCTTGTACGACACTAATCAGAACAAGGGACTCAGTCACCAAAATGTTAGACTTTCTTGTTCGACAGTAATCAGAACAAGGGACTCAATCATCTAAACGTTAGACTTTCTTGTACGACACTAATCAGAACAGGGGACTCAGTAACCAAAACGTTAGACTTTCTTGTTCGACACTAATCAGAACAGGGGGCTCAGTCACCAAAACGTTAGACTTTCTTGTACGACATTAATCAGTAGAAGCGACTCCGTCATTTGAACGTTAGACTTTCTTGTACGACATTAATCAGGAGAAGGGACTCCGTCATTTGAATGTTAGACTTTCTCGTACGACATTAATCAGGAGAAGGGACTCCGTCATTTGAACGTTAGACTTTCTCGTACGACATTAATCAGGAGAAGGGACTCCG